CACCACCAGCTCGTCGGCCACCACCAGCTCGTGGGATACCACGACCTCGATGGTACTGCGCTGGGTCCATATAATCAGCCTCGTGTGCCAAACGCTGATCCGATCGGGTTCGCTGCAGTGTATGGGAAGCCACATCCATGAATCGACGACTATACTCCTGCATGGTCACAGGATCATGGACATAACTCTGCATCTGCTGCCCCATATGATAGACGGTATGCAATCCAATCACCTGCACAAAGTAAAAAATATAAACTACATATTTGGCACTAAATTACAGGTATATAACTAATAATAACATAAAACATACCAGGGCATCATGTCTCCCGGCATATGGGACGTACCAACCGTGTGCCTGATGAACTGGGTTCCCGATAAAACGGAAGGGGTTTAAAAAATGTATGTATAGCGCCACAATACCTGGCGCTATACTTTAATAATGTATGTATAGCGCCAGGTATTGTGGCGCTGTACCTGGCGGTGTCAGATTTTACAGTATAGCGCCATAATACTTGGCGCTATACATTAACGGTGCCGTTACTGTTAATGTATAGCGCCAGGTAATGTGGCGCTATATATAAAAATGTAATTTTTTTTACCACATATTTGTGTACTTTGAGTCCAAAAGAACCACATTTTGGTTCCGGACTCATAGTGGAGGGCTAAGTTTATGACTCAACCCTATCAAACCTTGATTAGATCCAACCAACATGTCGTCTTTGAATCTTCAACAGTTCTCTACTATAGCCATTTCATAGCAAAATAGTTCAACAAGTTGGAGAGATTGTGGTTGTAGTGGACACTTTTTCATAAAAAGTGATTCTAGGCAAAATGTTATAGTAATGGTGAAGAAACTCTCTAGGTAAAGTGTAATAATGTGTTATAGCAACACAATAATACAATATGACCAAATGACAAAAATTAAGATTATGAAAAAGAATGGGATTTCTGATTCGGAGAATGAAAAGATAAAGTCGCTAGGTGTGTTTGAGCACAAGTGAGAACAAACGAAGAGGCAACATTTTATCCCTTAGAGGCTTATCCGACGCGAGTTTAGATTAATCGGGTCAGTAAACTTCAAATATACTATAATTAAAAAAACAAAAAATAATGGTTGCATTGGGGAAAAGCATGGTTTTATGCCTAGTGACACCACATAAATCTAACAGAGCAACTGCATTTGTCACAAAAAGGAGGCAGTTCAGGGGATAATGCTGCATTCTTACACTAATAAGGGTGAGTACTAAGTATTGCATTTATACATCTATTCTAACAAGGGTGCAAGGTGTAAAATATAAAAGTACAAGCTATTCTAACATCTTTAACACCCTAGATTCCTAGCCACACCCTTCTTCTTCCTCTTCCTTTTTAGGGAGTAAAAGAATTACTATTTACTATAACTGTGTGAAATTTGGATGAAAAGCAATAATCTCACTAGAGGCTTTTGTATATATTGGAGTGTTTATGAATTTATCGCAGAAACTCAGAGGCCAGGACCATATGTCACAGATTGAAAAATGCATGGAGCAAAATGTATCTAACTTTTCTCATAATTTAAAAATTATTTTGTTGCACACAAGAGAGAGAAAAAAAACTTATTCATTAGAATCATAATACCCATAATTGGTAAAAAAGAAGAATATGATTTTACTAGGTAATGTACTCTTCTATCTCATCATGCACAAAAGAAAAAGAAAATTGAATTATAGTGGTTTATGAAAAAAGTATTATTTTATCTAGTGATGTAATTACATTCAACATGATATTTGAAAAGTATGATGATCACATCATATTCCTTTAAAAGGGGTAGGCAAATAGCATAATCACGAATCATATTAGAGAACGTTAAGAGATTTAAATTTACTAAATAAATGATATTCTGGAAAAAGGAAAAATGATGTTGAATCATTATTCTTCCCAATGAGGAAACGATCTATTGAAACACAGCCAAGTAGAAATTTTCTTTGATGTTAGTGGACTCTGTGCATAATATTTGTATTTGGGACGTTAAGAATGCGATTCCGCTTCTCTTGGTTCAAGTATATACGCAAAGTTTGAGTTGATAGGGTTTTTCTTTCTTTCTTTTTTTCCTTTTCAATTAACTAAAAAACAAATCTCGTTTTTTGGTTATAGCTTAAATGATTCTGATCACTTTTGACTAATTAATGTGGATCATAGAGAACCATAAACTTGATCTAAAATATTATCATAGTAGGAAATGCTTATCATTAGCATATGATTGGATTCCTAATTCGCACTTAAAAGTAGATAAATTAATTTTTAATTCATTAACCTTAGGATTTAATCAAGTGTAGTGCAAAAGTGAAGAGTTCTACCAAAAAGTAGCGTAGAGTATGTTGGAGTATTCAGTTTATCCTAATTTGACCGACCATTTTAACAATTTTAATGTAAACGGTTCATTACTTAATTTCCTTGAATGAAATATATGGTGTTATGTGTATTAGAATTTATATAAATGAGAAGAACAAACATACTAGGAGTATCTTAGATTAGACTAATAGATTTAGGGAACTGATTTTACGCTCCATTTTTTTGTACTTATGGCGGTAATTCACCACATATTCTACTATTTATACTGGCGGTTCACATAATATTAATTGTGAATTTAATTTTATTTGGTGTAAAAACTTAAATCGGTAATTGTCCTATATTATTTTAGTCAATGACTTTATTATAAATTTAATATTTTTAAAAGGTCAATGCTACAGGCGAAAAATAAATGTAGAGTTCAATTGTAACTCAATTCAATTTCGATTGGATCACACACTATTACAAAAATCAGTCGATACCGTAGAATGTTCCCGTAACCGATAACCGAATCACAAAAGTGGTTTATTGACTTATTGGTATTGGATTATCGAATTAACAATTAGTTAATGGATTGAAATTTTATAATTAATAGTTTATCGATTCGGAGGCGGATTACTTAATTTTCTTATTGGATAAACAGTTAATCTATTAAGAATTATTATATTTATATTTTTACTTCTTTCACTATTTAAAACCTTAGTTTCTTATTTCCCTTAATATCAGCAGCACTCAGCAACATTTTCTATTTCTCTCAACAATCCTCTTAGGAAATGACGACACCAATCAGACTTACAAGGAAGTAACTTTTTAGCTGTCTAAGCTTCAACTTCATCGTAACTTTTTGGGGCAGGACTAAACAGATCTAGAAAGTTCTTGTTATCTTTCTGCTCAAATAGATCATTTAACTTGGCAACTTATGCAAAATTTTATCCAAAATATATGTTAACTGAACTTGTATTACTGATTAAAAATCCCAATTAGTATTTTAGCTTGCTTATTGTAAAATAATTAAAGAAGAAGAAACTGTCGTTAACAATTAGAGCTTCATTACCCTACTTGAGTATGATTGTAATTGAATCGTCTATCTATTATTCATTGTCTTGTTTACTTATATCAATATTATTGTTTATTTGATTTACCGATAAACCACTCGATAATCACTAATCCGACCCGATATCTTATTGAGTGGCTAGCGAATTAGTACATTTACGAGTTGATAACCGATAAATCAAGTGCCCGATAAGCAGCCTTACCTTGAAGCGGACTCAACTCGTAAAGAAGATGGTAGTTCACGCGCTACAGAGAGAGTAGAGACGTATAGCGTCTCAGAGCTGTATCTGCGTCAGAGGAACGTTTGGTCGTCGCGTCATTAGCTTAATTAAAAACACTCATTATATTCTCTAATAATGTCTCAAAAGAGCGGGCGGGGAAATTATTTACACACAAACACACCGCACTTTAGCTATAGCAAAACTGCACTTAAGCCTTATAAGAGTGGGACAGAGAGAGAGAGTGGAAAGTGGAAACGGAGGAGGAGCACTTCTTCACAGCAAAGTGCTACTCCTACGTCGAAAGCTTTTCCACCTTTCCCTTTTTCCTCCTTATTTAAGGTGAACTTTGAGCATTATTTCTCTGTTTTCTCTTCAACATAGACATACAGAATTACTGGAAAGAATGTGCGAATTTGATTCTGCTTCTCCATGATTTTGCAGGCGGCTCTGTCCTCGGATTTTCTCTGAATTTCCAGAAATTTCACAGTATCTGTGAGTTAAAAACTTAAAGCTTTTTCTTATCTTGAGTATATCGATTAAGCTTATGTTCATACCGATATTCTGCAAATTAAGAAGAAGCTTCTAGTAACTTCATTGTTGTTGACCTCAAACTGTTGTTTTCTTGGAAACTGATTTCTGAGAAAATGTTTTGTTAGTTGTTTATGGAGATGTGTTTAGGATGTAATTAGTGAGTACTTATTAGTATGGAGATGTGTTTAGGATGTAATTAGCGTGTACTTATTAATATTGTTAAAGGTATATTTAATGTTAGATAGTGTTTTGGTGGTGGAGGAGTTTTTGGAGTTGGATACGCATCTCTCTATGGATTAGATTTGATGGTCAAATTGGTGGTGAATTTATGTTGTTGAATCAGGACCGTTAAAAATTATGCGGTTAAGAAATCCTGATTGAGACTGATACCCGGAATCTTGCTACTGTCTCAAAGTCTAGGAATCAAATCCTTTTAATTTACCTTCCCCCAGATTCTTTCTCACTCAAATCCTTCACTTTCTAACAATTGTCAACATGCCCAATCTTGTTCCAACAAATACAAACAAACACTTTTCTTGTTGAGATTGTTTTACACGTCTCCTATTGAGTAACTTATCCAAGAAATAGAAAATGAAGTGTAACCAGATTGTTGGAAGACATTTGTTTTTCATTTTAGTTCCTTTATTTCTTTCTTTTCATAATTCAGATGAACTTTCGATAGTACTAGCTTTAAGAACATTGTATTCTACTATGAGTATTTTACAAGGACCTGGGAGTTAAAGCCCAGGAGCTTGCGCATTTCGTCCTTATTCTTGAATCTCTGCTTTGCATTTGATAGATAGACTTTTCCTCAACAAGTTGGTAATCAGAGCAATGACAGAACTAAAAACTTTGATCTGCATGAAATTTTTTAGGTAAAAGCTAACAAGGAATGGCTTTAGATTATGGATTCATGTTACTTTCTCTTTGATCTCAGGATTGCATTTTGATTATTCCTTTCTAGAATCTAGATTCGACTATATTCTACCATCATGTGAAGCATGTCATGAAAATTGAGTGAACAGTATTGGTTCTCTCATCAGTAGTAGTACAACTATGTGCTTCATCCTCCATCCATACATCTTGCATAATAACCAGAAGCTTTAAATACTTTACGGACAATCTAGCTGTAAAAGTACATCGGTTTATTGAATTTATATTTCAATGGACTGCTATTTTCACCCACGTACATTTACTTGCGCTTTTATTAGGTCATCTTTGGCAGGTAAAATGCCACTTTAATTTGCTATTGCTGTCATCATGGATTAGGCCAGTCAGCTGCTATAGAGCAAATTTGGCTACTTTCTATGTAAAGGAAGAAAGGGAAGTATTTTTATTGACTACAGAAGTGTTGTTCATATGGCAAGAAGATATGGGCCTTATTTCGATCCTGAGTATGAGACCTTAAGTATCAGAATAAATCCTCCAAGGTTGAGCTTCTCTACTTTTAGCTTTTTCCATTTTTGCAACATCCACTCCTTGCCTTCACTATATTTTATTTTACTTTCATTGGCCAGCCTAGATATTACTCGTTGTGGTTTAGGATGTTACCTAACCAGGATATGGAAACCTGTCGGTCTCCTTTGAACCAATGAAAGAAAATCATGGATGTCAATTAAATTACTTCATATTTAAGACCCTCAGCTGTTTTCATGTGGTTTTACTAATGATTATTTGATGCTATTAGGGTATCTGTGGACAATGCGAGTTGCAAGGATTGCACACTAGTGAAGGTAAACTTTGAGAATCTTTGAGTGATTGAGTCCTTATTTTTTTATTTCAAGGATCCACAGCACCTTTGATGAGACGAAGCTCACTTCACCACAGTTCAATAAGCTCTTAATTTTACAACGATTATTCTTGTAAGATTAGTGTGTGTCTGGTCATCTGAGCCTGCTATGGTGCATGATCAAAAGTTTTACTGAAAGAAAGGAGTATATTAAAAAAAGTTCTTTCACAAATTTTATTGGTCAAACTTTTTGAACACAATCTGCTGTCGCAAGTAGGAATTACTAATATCTGTAAGCTAGAGCCTGGTGATTTGATAGGCATGATTTGAATCACTAGTATGAGTCAGATAAGGGGTCCCACATTAACTCTATATCATTCAGTTGCTTTTGTCAAAGTAGTTGATACATTTTTTATATGGGTAACATAAAGTACATTATTAATGAACTACCTCTTGCGCCTTTTTAGGTACTGAGGTGTTCAAAAGTACCACTGAGGTTTTCGTTGTTTTCCTCAGGTTGACAGTGTCAACAAACCTGGAATACTGCTGGAAGTGGTGCAAATCCTAACAGACCTTGATCTTGTAATTACCAAAGCCTACATATCCTCTGATGGCGGGTGGTTCATGGATGGTGAGTATTGTTTCTCATTAGTATTTTCAGGTGTTGAAGCTTTTAGACGAGGCGCATCCAAGTATTTTTAGTTGCATATTCAAGAGCTGCTACTGTCAGGGGTGGAGCTAGGTATAAGTAAGTGGGTTCAATTGAATCCCCTTCGTCAAAACAGGGCTAAAATGAATTATTTTGGTTATATATGAACTGTTGAATTCCCTTGGCATAAGAGAAGATTCTAGTGTAGTGGTAAAGGAGGTTCAAAATTATTTTAGGTCACAGGTTCAAATCCCAAATGTGACATTCTAGTATTTTCTGAACCCCATTGTATAAACTTCTGGCTTCGCCACTGGTAGATATGGATCATGTTCTACACTATTTCTTTTACAAGCTTGGACTGCTATCCAACTAAATACCCAAATTCAAGTTTCTTCCACCTTGGTGGTTATAGATTTACTAGTATGTGTTAATTGGTGGCCATGTATACCATATTCACTTTTGCCCTTTCTTGGCCATTTTACAAAAGTCTCAACCTTATAATCTGTTTCCCCATTAACACTCTTTTCTTGCTCTGTCCCATCTGCATATAATATACTAGACTTAGGGCACACAGTTGGGAAATTTCTTACAAGTTTTCATTTCATTTTTAACAGTATTTCATGTTACTAATCAACAAGGCAACAAAGTTACAGACAGCAACACTATTGGTCATATAGAAAAGGTAAAGTATCCCTTGTTTTTCTTGCCTTCTGATTTCATATTTTTATAGCCTCTACACAAGTAATGCGAGGATAAGACAACAATCTTCTTTGACAGATTCTCGTATGATAGTATACAAAAGAAGGGAAAGAGGGATAAATTAAAACGTAGCATCTTCTAGAAATTGCTAAAATATCATGCAACTCCAAGCTAGCCATTGTAGTTGATGTTATGTACTTTGGGTTTATATGCAGGCATTGTCAATGACATTTCTTCTCATGTATTTTTTTCACCTAGCATATATCAGAGTTTTACTTTTGGGACTCTATGACTATTCAGAGCACAGCAAAAGTCAAGCAACTATTCACAAATCCTTGGTGACAAAATGTTACAGAATAGTTGCTCATTGTTAGACAAGAGTTCCCAATTCCACAAACTAAATAGTGCTCTACTAATGTGTCTGGGTTTGCCTATTTCTCTTATCTGTTTCAGTCATGAGCTCATTGCTGTCATAATCCTCGCTTTTACTGCAGGTTTTTTCACACAAGTTGTAGTTAGGCTTTCCTGAACTTTGTATGCAAGAGCATATATGTACCCTGGTAGTCACCCAATCAAATCCTATTTTATCCCCAATAAATGCTTTAGCCCTTGTAGGTGTGTCATCCAAGTGACTGAAACTTAAAAAGTAGCTACCCTAAGCAAGAACCTAGTTATATCCAAGTTACTAACGATTTCAATAAATTTCTTACATTAGGCGCTAGGACCTGAAGGTTACACATCAGGCATATTGAAGCCTTGTCCAGGTAGAAAGGTAGGAGTGAACTCTGTGGGTGATTATACCACCATTGAGCTTATAGGAAGTGATCGTCCGGGTCTTTTATCAGAAATTTCTGCTGTACTAGCCAATCTTCATTTTAATGTCGCTGCTGCTGAAGTTTGGACCCATAATAGGCGCACAGCATGTGTCCTTTATGTCAATGATAATTGTTCCTCACTTGATGTGGATGAAGAATCCAGATTATGTGTCATGGAAGAGCAACTCAATAACATTCTTCGTGGACGGGAGGATGATGAGAGTGGGGCTCATGCTACTTTCACAGTTGGCAGTACTCATGTTGATCGGCGGCTTCATCAGATGTTCTTTGCTGATAGGGACTACGAAGGTGGTTGTCTCGAAATGGAGATAGAATACCCTCCTAGCTTCAAACCAGAAGTCAGAATTGAAAGCTGTGTCGAGAAAGGGTACTCAGTGGTCAGTGTAAGTTGCAAGGATAGACCAAAGCTTATGTTTGACATTGTATGCACCCTCACAGACATGCAGTATGCTGTTTTCCATGCCACTATCTCATCTGATGGTCCCTATGCATCACAGGTAATCTCATTATGTTGTTCTGATGATTGCTAGTCTGAAAAAAAAAATTGAAAAAAAATGAAAAAAAAAGTCTGCTAAGAGGCATATTCTGTATGAGATAAACTAACATATGGAGGATAAATCATTCTATTTAACAATACTTCTATTTTAAGAAATTTCCATTTAACAATGTCAATTCTGGATCCGCCACTGTTTAGTTAGTATCATCTTATTAAATAAAAGTTCAATTGTTATAGAGGGAGCTCCAATTGGTCTCAATTTTTTCAGTGAGAGCAGAAAGATCAGAACCGAAAGCATCAGTGATATGATTGCCTTGCTTGAGTTTCTGAAACTACCTTTACCCCATTAAAACTCCTATTAAACATGTCTACCTTAGAAGTATTTTCATCCGTCATCTTTTTGTTTTGGGTTACTGATTAGTGTAATTCTTAATCACATTCCCAAAGGAAATAAAATATATGAACCCC